CCCACTCCCCGCAGGAATGCCTGCTATCCTAGGGACCTCCATCCCCCAAGCAAAAAACAGAAGCTGTATTTTTCACAGACTTCCTTTGCTCCCTACAGAATCACTGCAGGCAGGCTGGGAAATGTTAATTGATATTTTGGGGGTAGGGTCCCAGCTACCTCTTCCATGCAGGCGACTCAGTTCCCACCCCAAATATCATGACGAAAGATGATTTTAAACATCCCAGGCGACTTAAGGAGCCGGCTTTCAAAGGTGTTTAAAATGACAACATCTGGGTGGGAAACAGGGCCTGAGAGTGAGGGGTAGTGGGGATTTTTGAGAGGCAGGAGGGGAGGAGGTGGAGCCCAGTCTCTGCTTTCCTTTACCTCCCAGCTCCTCAGCCCTAACTAACCCCACCTCCTGGCAGCCGCAACCCACTTTTAAGAAGCCAGCACGTGCATCTCTAGTTGCTGACCAGAAGGGGTCACTGCAGAGCAGCAGCGCTCCCGGGCACTCGCTGAAGCAGGCACACAAATACCCAAATACACGTACAGATATCCAGGGTATATGCGCTTCTGAACCAGTACCCCGTTACCCCACGGTCCTTTTTCCTGCTCCCCCATCTCTCTGTGTTCCCCTCCTGTTCTCTTTCAAAGAATTCCTGAAGTTCGCGTTGCTGCAGGGGTTCCCTGGTCCCCACCGCCCTCAGCATCAGCAAGGGCATGGGTGCATTCCGCGGGGACCCGGTGCCAGGCGCTCGGAGGCCTTTACGACTCGGCGAGCTTTCTTCGCAGGAGCCTGCAGCCCAGGGAGTGGGAACAGCAGCTCTGCTGAGGCTAAAGGGCTCCGAGGGAGAGACGGCCTAAAGGGTCCTGCGATTACCTGCTTCTCTTACTGAAAACCCTGTGGGTGAAAGTAGAGAAATTCTTCTGCCCAAACCCTCTGCCCCTCTAGGGTGTATTTGTGGTTCTAAGCTCCCACTTTCTGGGATTAGGGTTGTACTGAGAAGGGGTAGAACATGGAGAGCGAGCCCGAAAAGTACCTATCCCCCATAACCGTCAGATTTCCCCCTCAAATCCCTCCCCGGAAAGGCTCTCCCGAGACAAGCTGTGTTAAGAAGAGTGGCTATG